GCTGCTGTGCCACTGGGGGAGCATACCATTTGTGTAAAAATGTGTTTTAGAAAACAATTCTCTATGTGCTTAATAACATTAAATATAACTTTAAGGTACGATTTCTTAAAGTTAAAAGTAAAATTTGTTATTGCTATTATTATAATTTTTCATGTTAACATCTTAACAAAACAAAAAAACTATCCATAACTTTATAAAAAGTATTTTATGTCGGTGTTCGGGGGACGTACTTAAAGTTAAAAGTAAAATTTGTTATTGCTATTATTATAATTTTTCACGTTAACATCTTAACAAAACAAAAAAACTATCCATAACTTTATAAAAAGTATTTTATATCGGTGTTCGGGGGACGTACTCTATTTCTTCCGCGTTTGTTTTAGTCAGACAAGAATGGAATATCTCTTCTTTTGATGATCCCTAGTGGTGATTATTTTCCTATATCATTGTTTACTAAAAAACTTGTCCAACTCAACGTTTCATGTTCGGAAAAGATTTTCTACAGAAAAAAAAATATATATATAGCAAATAAACTGATATCGAATTCTGAAGCTCTATTTTTATTCCAATAAACGAACATTATTTTTTCAGCTGTAGTTGAGTAGACCCAGGCTGCCATTTGTAGTCTTAGTTACGTTTTGCTAGAGGGCAAAAATGCTCCCCAAATAAAGGCGGCTGTCATTTGTAGTCTTAGTTACGTTTTAAGGCAAAATGCTCCCCAAATAAGAGCGGCTGTCATTTGTAGTCTTAGTTACGTTTTAGGGCAAAAATGCTCCCCAAATAAAGGCGGCTGTCATTTGTAGTCTTAGTTACGTTTTAGTGCAAAAATGCTTCCCAATTAAAGGTGGCTGTCATTTGTAGTCTTAGTTACGTTTTGCTAAAGGAAAAAATGCTCCCCAAATAAAGGCGGCTGTCATTTGTAGTCTTAGTTACGTTTTGCTAGAGGGAAAAAATGCTCCCCAAATAAAGACGGCTGTCATTTGTAGTCTTAGTTACGTTTTGCTAGGGCCAAAATGCTCCTCAATTAAAGGCGGCTGTCATTTGTAGTCTTAGTTACGTTTTAGGGCAAAAATGCTCCCCAAATAAAGGTGGGTGTCATTTGTAGTCTTAGTTACGTTTTAGGGCAAAAATGCTCCCCAAATAAAGGCGGCCGTCATTTAAGGCTGTGACTCCCATCGCAGCTTAACTTCTAAAGGAAACTCGTACCGGCAAACATCAGTTAAATCTCTAAACCAAAAATGTAATATTGAAACTGAATGAATGCATTTCGCATTTGAAAGCATCAGCAAACTAGTCTTATCTAGATATATATGTGTGTGTGTGTGTTTCTTTTCTGTTAATTTGTACGTCTCAGTTCCAACCAAACCTTACGTATAATGAGATAATTTCCTGACGTTTTTTTAACCATCACCGCTTCTTGATAATAGTTTTCAAAACTGTAATCCTAATACAAAGGGTCTACTTCTTCTCTCTCTTTAATCTTAATACAAAGAGTCTATTTTTTCTCTCTCTCTTTACTCTTAATACAAAGAATCTATTTTTTCTCTCTCCTTAATCTTAATACAAAGGGTCTATTTTTCTCTCTCTCTCTTTAATCTTAATACAAAGAGTCTATTTTTTCTCTCTCTCTTTACTCTTAATACAAAGAATCTATTTTTCTCTCTCCTTAATCTTAATACAAAGAGTCTATTTTTTCTCTCTCTCTTTACTCTTAATACAAAGAATCTATTTTTCTCTCTCCTTAATCTTAATACAAAGAGTCTATTTTTTCTCTCTCTCCTTAATCTTAATA